TTGAATATATATTCTCAAATCAAATTTCTTACCAACTCTTTTTTTGACACGATAAAGTTAACAACATATGGTGGAAACGAAATTAATCTATTTTATTAAAAATAACAGGAATAGCTGGACTTGATAAAGAAGGAAATGTAACTAGAACATAGTGCAAAATAATAAGTTATAGGCATCTAGCAACTTCATGCAGAATAATGTGCAAACCAAACAATCTCTTTTTCTATTATTCAGCATAGAAAGAAAAAGAACGTAGAAAAATAACGCATATTATATTTTTCTTCTCCTTATCCTGTTTTGCTTCTCCACCAAAAAGAGCTGAGTAAATGTTTTTTGGCAGAGAGGCAAAACAGAACGAGAAAAAGAAAAAGAACAAAAAAAAATGCAGCGTGCGTTCTCTAATTCTTTACACTCGTGTGGGAAAAAAACAAACTAAAAAGATAATGGCACTACTCGCTTTTTTTGTAAAGCTTCTTTAAGGTACTCAAATGATAAGCAAACTTTCATTTTTATTGTTAACTTTTTCCGATGCGCAAGAGCCAAGTCAGTACATCAAAATAGGAATTCAAAAACTGCGCAGTAAGTTGGAAACTGTACAGACTCTACTAGTCATACAGAGCGAGAAAATTCAAAAATAAATACATCATTTTGTAGAGAGTTAGATTCTATACAAAACGAGAAGTGTTTAGAAATTTTTTCATATGAAAAAAAAATTCTTGTTTAAAAACTTCACACTTTCGTTTTTCAAAAAATTAATATTTAAAAAATTCAGCGTTTTTGAAAAACGAATTTCAAATGGAATTCTAGCGTCAAAAACTGCGCGTAGCGATGCGTTTAAATCTGTCTAACGCAAAGAAGAATTTTTTAACAAATTTGTCACCGAGGTGTCGCGTTATGTAAACAAGTCATATAGCATCTAAAAGATGGAAGGAAGGAAGGAAAGCTGGTACCGTTGCCGGTTTAGGATGAAGATCAGAATATGTGTAAAAGGAAAGAGAGGAGTAAAATAATCATTTGGTTTGATTGCTAAAAACACACATACACACAGTAGAATCCGAAGAAGGGGAGTTCAGTTTGCTGTGATATTTTTGTCGAAAGTCGTAGAAAATTCAATGAGGGGTTCGTCCATCAGAATGTTTCCTCCACATCTTGTGGATATGGTTTCAGAGACATTTGTCATAAAATCCAGTCATCGAGATCTCAGCCTTTCTAATGTGCATAAAAGAAAAAAAGAAAAAAAATATCTTGTTCATATTTACTATGGTTCACTTTGTAGTTGTAATTGACGTCTTATCACATGTACGTCTATGAATCCTCACTCCGAGTTCATTTTTACAAATCCGATTACAGTTTGGATATTTATTTGATTTGTTTGTCTTTGTTGTTGTTGTTGTTGATATGGTTGGTACTTGATTTGGTCCAGTTGTTACGATCATGTTGATTGCTTCTTTAGTACGTCTTTGTAGTGCGCGCTGTCGATAATCATGTACGGTTTGTTTAATACTTGAGCTCATCATATGAATGTGTACGGATCGGTTGATAATATGACGCCATTTGTTTCTATCCATGGTGTCTCGTCTCCAGTTGGTACTACCAGATTGTTTGATGTCAGCTTTGATTTTGTTTTCATACCTTTTTCTAAATCGACAGTGTTGAGGTCGATGGGCACCTGGAAAATAAGAGAACATGAGTTTTTTGGACAGCATTGATTCGCCATTGTCCTTATTCATTCTGTTCACATGACCAAACCATCTCAGTCTGTTTCTTGTCATGATAACATCCAATTGCGGTTGTCCAGTGAGTTCTAGTATTTTTGCATTCGATAAACGATCTTCTAGACTTGCTCCAATAATTGTTCGAAGACATTTCATATAGAAGGAATTCAATCGTCGTTCTTGAATACTAGTTAAAGTTCAGACTGCACTTCCATATAACAATATGGGTACTACGTATGCTGGAAAAATTCGTAGTTTCGCTTCATACGACATGCTCATGCGATACCATACACAATGTTTGAGCATGTTGGAGACTCCCGATGCCTTCAATATACGTATTCCAATCTCCTTCTCCATGGCTTGATCTTCTGTTATACAATAACCAAGGTATGGGAAGGATTCAACATTTTCAATCTTCTCATTTCGGATTATCATCTTGAGCCAGGTTGACTGACCATTTGTCCTTTGATTACACGATCAGTTGAATCTTGTTGTAATTGTTTTAGAGAAATAATGGATGTCTTCTTTACGTTCATTGTCAAGCTAAACTTTTGTGTTATAATTTCAAAAGCTTCAATGAATTTTTCAAGTTCTGTTGTAGATTCGCTTAATATAGCAAGATCGTCGGCATAGGCCAAATTCAGAACATTTACGAATTTGTGTTGATCACCAGTGGGGGGTGAAAATTATGACCATAAGCCAGCTTAACTCTACTTGCTTGTATTTCTTCGAGCACTTGTCGCATGACGAAGTCTAGTGCGACGTTGAATAGGATAAGTGATTCCATTCCTTCTTGTTTGACACCTGTGTCCATTTCGAAAAACCATAGATTCCTCATCGCCTGTACGTATCGGAGCTCTTGTATTATTATATAGAAGCTGCAAAATTTTGATAACTTTTTCCATCAATCCATAGTGTCGACATATTTTCCATAGAATCTCACGATTGATCGAATCATATGCTTTGCGTAAGTCGATGAAACATATGTATGTGCAGTTGTTTGTTGTATTTCCGTGATTTTTGCATGACTATTTTCAATGTGAAGATCTAGTCAAAAGTCGATCTCTTTGGTCGAATCCCAGCTTGTTGGGGTGTGAATGTGGATGGCTGGCTGTAGGTGTGGGTGGGTGTGGGTGTGGGTGTGGATGTGGGTGGCTGGGTGTTGGTGTGGGTGGGTGTGGGAAGTGGGCGGGTGTGGGTGGGTGCGAACGAATAACAGACCTGCACCCACACCCACACCCACACCCACACCCACACCCACACCCACACCCACACCCACACTCACACCCACACCCCACCCACACCCACACACCCATACTCACACCTCACCCACACCCACACACCCATACTCACACCTCACCCACACCCACACCCACAGCAAGATGAAGAATCTCATCCCTTTTTTCATAATGCACAAAGAGGAAAGTTTGTTTACTCTTGCTTCTTCAATTTTTCAGCAGTGGCTGGGCATTAGTAAAGTACGCTCTCACCCACTCTGACCGCCGTTTCATTCAAAGATAGTATCGATGTATAGAACATAAAATTGTCTATTCTTGAGACCTTACTCTCACCGATTTTCTTCAATCGATCTTAGAAAAAAAATTATTAAATATCATTTTTTTGAGATCACTCTCACTCACCCTCACCCACTTCTTAACAAGAAGGTGTGGGTAGGGTGGGAATGTGGGTATGGACTATGGTTGAATGTAGATTTAGGCTTTGTGTGAGGTCTGGGTATGGGTGTACACTCTAAAAAATAGGTATTCTCGGAAACAGACGAAAAAATGTTTTCGAGGGTGTGGGTGTGTGGGTTTAGGTGTAATTGTTCTATTTACCCTCTCCCAGATGCCACACCCACACCCACGTACATACTCACACCCACCCACACCCCACACACCCATCTAACAGATATTCAACAGGTATTGTTAAGATTTATTCAAAGATTTGAAAATTTATATTAGATGTGTTCACAACTAATTGTTTTAAGTAAACGGTATAGACATTAATAATATCGAATTAATCGTTTATCAACGAAAAATTTTAATATATAAATATTTCAATATAGGTGGTGAGAAAATTATATTTTAACTGATCACATGAATAAAATTTATCTGATGTATGAAAATATTCGAAAGATCAAAGGTCATTCTAACAGATATTTAGTTGACGATAGAGAGAAATTGTTAGTTGTCAATAATACATATTTACTTTTCTGCAAGAGATGAAATTACTAAAAATATCTTTGATTACCTTGTCAATGATATCTATGTTCTGTTTCTTTCGATTTTTTATTTATTTAAATAAATAATTCTTTTTTACAGAGGTTATTTTCAGCCAGAGTAAACATGTAAATAGACAGAAGAACATTGTATTAAATGAGTTTCAATTAAGGAACAATGATAATACGGCGAAAATCATTCTTTTTCTGCGGTTTTTGACGTTTGCTAGGTGATCTAATGGAAGAAATAAACATTTTCGTTATTGTTCTTATTTTTTATGTAAAAAAATCTCAAATTGTCGTCTAAAATATTTTTTTTTTCATTGGATTTAAATAAAAATAAATTACGTAAACAGTGATTTCTTTTCTAAAAGTCAACATATAGAAGATGGAATACGTAGAACTGTGAACGCTTATTTTTACTGAATTTCGTAATTAAATTAAAGTTAATTATGCACCTTCTTTACCCTTTAAGAATAAATATCACTCAAAAATTCATTGTATAACAATGTAATTGCACCATAATTTATTAAAAATAGCTAATTAAAATACCCGTTATAGTCGAAAATCATTTTCAAGAATATATGAAATCATTTGAAAAATCAGCTAGAAGATTTAGTAAAATATCTTCACACTATGCAGTCATCATCACATAGAAAAAATAAAATGAGGTTATCAAACCAAGTAAAATGACATTCCATTCTCAACGGTTTTCTTCTGAGTGAGAATGGATATTTTTTTTTTCAAACGTAGAAGTATAATCAATCCACTAGAAAACTTTTAAACTCACCGGATATCTTTAAACAATCACTTATTTAGGATGAAATTTTTTAGTCGGAGCACAATTTTTCTTATACGCAATGATTATTTCAGACATAAAGAAGGCTTTAAACAATTATTACAGTACTTTCATTGTATTTCACATTGGAACTCTGCATTGATTGGGCATGGCTGTAATGAACAGAAGATTCGTGCCCACATCCTCAGATGGACAGGTGCTTTCTAAGTATACTATATTTATTATTTTGAAAGCAGACAATAGTAGTGTAAAAAAAGAGTATTGTACATTAAATGGAAGGATATGGAAATGAAAACTGTTCCTTTAAAATGAAATCATTAACACTATCAGCGATAATTTTGTGTACACTGGATGTAAAATGAAACTTATCAATAAACACATATTTTGATGGATCTGAACAGTGCATAACAACAGAAGTACCATTTACAGTATCCCAACATGGATCGACAGTATTTGTAAATTGTTCCGATTCATTATCAATAATTTTCTTGATGATCGAATACAGATTAAACACTTTCAATGAAACTTCTGGGTTGCTTTTCTGAATTATTTTAAGACGAAGTGAAAGCGTACTATTGAATAGAAATGTAAGTTGTTTAAAAATGAAGTCAATACCGAGCGCGTGAATGTATGGAAAAGCTTGGGCGGGCGATTGATTGAAAACAAGAATATGTTTCGCACCAAAGTCGACCAAATCATCGACTGCATTTGCCAAACCGTTAACAACTGCAAATGGATTTGGAATCTTACTGAAAACAAAATCATTGCCACCACCTGACACGATATAGAGTGTATGTGCGAAATCAATAGTTTGTTCTCTAGTACTGTTTATATAGATTTCAATTTGTTGTCGAATGCCGGGCACAGGTACTGTATCTAATTTTGTGTATCCTTGAACTACTACATTGTCGGTTGTTGCACCTCCATAAGCATAATTCTTTACATTCGATACTCTCAATCTATCTACCCAGTTAAGATCGTCACTAAATCGACCTTGATAGTATGCCGGTGAGATAGGCCATGTGCCATTTGTCAAATTAAAAACATTGTCGGTATCCGAAAGGGAGTCACCAAAGATTACTACTGTATGGAACCGATGTTGTTCAGTGTTTGCTTGAGAAGCATGTATCATAGTTAAATAGAAGATATATGTAATAAAATTCGAACTAATACGATACCTTTTATAATTGTATTACTCGATTATATACTATCAACATGATCGAAGGCGAAACAGAATAGTAAAAAGAAAAAAACAAAATTGAGGGGGCTGCTTTTCTGTTCTACATACGTGGGACTTAATAGCTCATCTACATACAGTGCTTGATCATACAAAACGCATGTTTGTCAACATGCGTCAGGTATGACGTTCTCGATGACTCAAGGCAATCAGCGTCATCGTTGTTTTGAAACAAAACGAGGATGATCAACGAATCAAGCAAGTTAGTGTGTGCGTCAGGCTTATTTGCTGTGTCACTTATGAGTATGAGGAGATTTCCATCGAATCAATTCCCAGCGTATCAAGAAAGTCAGGTGCATCTGCTTCAAATGAAAATTGATTTTTGTAAAAATTTAAACGAAAAAGTGCGTTTAAACAAGTAATATATGTATATTTACAAGTGCATAGTAGTAGCTATCAAGATAATAAGATACTAGCCTCTATTATTTTGACATAAGTATTTAAGTATGTATATTAATAGATTTCTATAAAAAGAAATCATATAGTTATCGAATCACTCTGTTGATTTATTTAAAAAAGAAACTAATAAACAAAAACAATGCAAATAAACTCTAGTTTTCACCTAACCATGGTCACAGAGTTGTATTGTTTTTTTCTGAAGTTTCATTTCTTTTCTTTTTTTTATCTCATCTTAATATTTAGACGTGTATATATTTGTTTACGTGATTCTCTTGGTAATGTAACATTAATTAATATAAATAATTTATAAAAAAGTATATTATGTAATGTATAATTCTGTGTATTTAAGCCATCAAGACTATAGTTATAATTTGAAGTAAGTATTTTTATTCTATCAGGATAAGGTTTAGCTGCCGTATGATTAAATGTACGAACCATTTTATAACGTGCTATTTCATCGGGATAACGTATAACTGATTTTTTTAATTTTCTAACAACACGATAAAACATATCATCATCTTCACCACCCCAACCCCAATAGACTGTTGGATGACCATTCGCACCAAGGAGATCGGATACACTAAAAGCTGTTGCACCACCGAAGTTCGTTGAATAGGGTAAATGATACTTGTTTTTATCAATAGCAACCGCTCTGTAGAATAAGAAATACTATTCAATCAAATAAACCTATTTGATCTATAAGTAAAAGTATCCTTTTCCTAATGATTATTTTACGTCGTTTTATTTGGCTTTGTTTTTTCATAGACTTTGGTTTCTCACAATACCAAAAGATAATCACATTATCTGATAGTTACTAAATATTATTTTGTTATTGCTTGAAAACTAGATTGTGACGTATTGTTCAAGACAACATGAACGCCATTCATAGGTGCTCATCAAGATACGAATTTCAAAATTTTTTGAATTAAACATTAGTCTCTAAATTGGTTTGCTGTGCTTCTAACAGAAATTTGACTTCGAATAGACTGTTTTAAAAGTTCTTAGAAGCATCTATAAATGAGTTCTAGCCATCGTTTTCGGAACATGTGTATTTCAGTCAAGATATTATAAATTTGACCTAAGACCTAATTACAGACCCGTGTACAAGATAATGTGATTATCTCGTATTTAAATTTTCAAGATCTGTTAACTACATTGAAAAACTATCGTTAAAATTCAATATAGCGACAGCAATAATCTAAGGATTTAACTATTTTCACGGTATTCATAGCTCATTTTATTCTACAGCATGCATGTAGTCCTAAATCACAAGCGTTTTATTACTTAGGAGACTTTCTTCGTGAAAGTATCATGGATTTAATTTTTAAAAAATTTTCTTCAAAATATAATAATTCAACAGCAATAATTTAGGAATCCGAACTCTTTCTAGGTTATCCATTACTCAGATTACTCGCATGTAATTTTTGAAGTATGAAATCAATTAAACGAACATTCACATAAAAAAAGAAAAAGTTGCATTTTGATTTATTTTACTTACAAATGTCTTGGTCTATCTCCACATTTATAAAGGTTTCTTAAATCTTCTGGAAAAAGATCCACATCATGAAAAATAAAGCAATCAAATGAATACAATTTCATTGCTTCGATATAACCTACATTGAATAAAGCAGCTCGATTAAATTCTTCATGATCATGTTGATTAATAACAAATATTGTATAATCAAGTTGTTGCTGTTTAAGAAATGGATGCATAACATTAAGAAATAATTTTAAATGTAATTCACGATTTCTATAAGGTACTATAATAGCTAAACGTTGTTCTGCTTGACAAGTTTTTGGAAACCAATGTCCACCGAAATCAACACCATGCTGGTTTTCAATAGTACTAAATGGATAAAGTCTATAGATAATTGGTACTTTATAAAAAGATACATTTTTATTTGATGTTGAAAAATTACATATGGGTAATGAATTATATATAGTTGGATCAGGTTTTGTAAAATTAATTGAAATTGAAAATGAACCATCAGGAAATGGATTGAACTCTCTAGACTCTTTTCGTATAGATGTATTATTGAGAGATGTCAAATTGTTTGTATCTTGTGTAACATTTTTTTCAATAACTGACCCTTGTTTATATAATAATAGCGGTAGAAAACTTCTTTTTACTGTTTGATTTGCTTCTATTTGCAAGAAAACACTATAATAAAATACTGGAACTAAGACAATTGAGCAAATTGATAGATGTATAATACAACGATTTTTACGCATGGAGAAGATCGACTATCAATTAAATGTTAAATGCATATTATAACTTATTTCATTCAATATTAAAAAAAACCGATGATTTTCTAGAATAATTACATCATTCAAAAGAGCATAAAAACTTGAACAAAACCTGCTGATTTTCTGAAAGAGGTACTTTCAAATCTTCAGAAAAAATTTTTACAATAGATCTTTCTCTCTTTGAATATCGTTTTTTCTGCATTATGTAGTCTTCATCGTTTTGCTTGGGATTAGACCCCGTCGGGTAGGACCCGGGTCCGGGTCCGCATCCAGGTCTGAAAATTTTGCTTTGACCGGGTCCGGGTCGGGTCCAGGTCTGAAGAAAACTTTGATCCATACAATTTATTTTGAATTTTTTTAAAGTTTTGTTCGTTTTATACAAAGAAGAGATCAAATGTATTTAGAAAATAGATAAAAAACAACAAAACCCTTCTTGACTATACTATCTAAACTGACTTGTCATTGTGTTTGGATCCAAAAAATTTAAGCGACTCGGTCTGGGTCCGGGTCCGGGTAGAAAAATTTTAAATGATCGGGTCCGGGTCCGGGTCCAAAAATTCTGGACCCAACGGGGTCTACTTGGGATGTACTTCAGATGAGCAAAGGACGGATAGAAAAACTAATCATATTTTTAGTCATGTCTGTACGTTCTGTCTAGTCTAAAATCAATTGTAGTTTATACTTCACATCCTGTCTGCATAACTTATGGATGTCATTCTATCTGTTATATTTAGTTTTGTTGATAATATGACTAGGCATGCTGTATTGTTCGCAAAAATGATTTTAAACAAAAGAAGTAAGAACTTTCATGATTCTGCATACGACATGTTGTAGTCTTGTGTAGTGGTAGTCACTCTAACATGCTATCTGATACAATTTTATTCGAAGCTTTCTTCAAGTTCTCATATGAATAAAAAAAACAATTATTTAGACAACACTGAGCGAAATATATTCAGTAACTGTTTATTTTTTTATTTTGAGGAGTATTTTCTGACTATAATCAATTAGAAGTAATTATAATTATGCTTGAAAAAAAATTAAAAATTATTTAAATTGAGAAATTAATCAAATATTTTTGATATCATGATCTTAATTTAATCTTAAATTTCTAGTGTAAATTTTAAGTATATAACTAAATAAAATTTTCTACTATTTAAATCATCATATTTTTTATAAAATAAAATATAATTATAATATAGAAAAATTTAAATTATTCTTACATTAAATATATTTTCAATTCAGTTTACACATATAATAAACTTTAAAATATATAATACATTTGCAATTCTTACTAAGAAATAAATATTATGCAGTTTATATTCTCATCCTTTTAAATACTTTCAATAGATTTTTGCATACGAAAGGGCAACATATATTGAGACATATCAAAATAAGAATGTAAAAAATATGTTGCCTATTGTTGATTTTGAAGGACACCTCTGATTGTCATTCAAATTAGAAAAGAAAACAATGTCCTTAGCTATTTCAATGAAACAATACAAATATCGAAAAATTGTTTACATTACGTTCTACTTCTTTGTCTTTCTATTACTAATCAGTCTAACAAATTACTAAAATAGCTTAGTCGAGATTTCTTCGTTCATCTTTGAAATTTTATTTTTGAACTGAAGTAGAAAATTCATAGTTTTTGTATTATCTTCAGAAAAATTTAAAATTGACTTAATATTTTGAACAGGATATTTAAAAAAAAAAGGGGGGGAATAAATGAAAATTTAATAGACAGCAAATATGTCAAACTACTTCGAAGCATATGTGCAGATCAATTGTAAAATAAACCGAAAGTTTACAAGTATCATCTAATCAAAATACTTTGGTTGTGCATAGAATAGAGATTTCGGTCTCAACCAAACACACACTCAAAACCGACATCATTTTAGTTCATATCTTCATTTTGTTATCTCTAATCTATTCCAATTAAGATTAACATTCTCTCAAATTGGAGCTTGAAAACGTAGGAAAAATGATTAAAATTTCGTAAACATTTTGAAAATAATTGTATGTTTTTCAAAAAAACCAAAAAAGTATCAGCTTCTAGCGCCATCTTATAATACATGATGTGAAAAAAAAACGTGTATTTGTATTTGTACATAGTAATTAAGCAATAAGAAAACGAGAATACGTGAACGGTAGACCAGGTAACTTTTGAAGGTAAATTAAACTTAATAATTATCAAAATGCGAGTTCGTTTGGGACGTACATTTCGTCTTATAATTGCACTTGCTTTTCTTATTCTTATTATACCATTTTTAATGTTCAAACTTGAATCTGCGAATAATCAACCTAGTCCTGAACATATTGGAATTGATTATCCAGAAGTAAATATTTACAAAAAAAAAACATTGTTTTATTAAATCTTTGATCTATTTTATTTACTATCTAGGATAAAAAGATTGATAATATTCATGAAAAGATTCGAAAACCTTTAGCTAGATCAATAAATATTAGTTTAGAACCTATAATGAGTAATTCATTAGGAAATTATGAACCAAAAGATTTACCAGAAAGAACAGGTCCAGGAGAAGGAGGTAAAAGTAAAATTTAACAAAACTAAATTGAATAATTCTTTTCTTTCATTCAACAAAAATAAACAAAAGGTGTTCCTGTAAAACTTTCGCCGTCCGAAGAAAAAGAAGCACAACGAACAATTGCATTATATGGTTTTAATATGATTGTTTCTAATAAAATATCTATGGATAGACGTATTAAAGATACTCGACCAGCAGAGTATGACATTAAAATCAATTGATCATTTTTTTTTTTTTTTGCTCTTAAATTTAGATGTAAAAATTGGATTTATCCAAGTGTACAATATTTGCCAACAGCTTCCGTTATTCTTGTCTTTTATGATGAAGGATCAGGTGTTCTATTACGTACTGTACATAGTGTAATTAATACATCACCACCTGAACTTTTAAAAGAAGTTGTTCTTGTAGATGATGGTAGTACTGATGGTATGAATTTGATAATAAACTTTTTGTCTTATATTTCAATTTCAATGAATTTTGAATAGTTAGATAATCGAAAAATAATTTTGATAAAAAATAAAATGGATCTCTTGATTTCTATAGAAAATAAACTTTACAAAATGATTAAGAATCTGAAAAATAATAAAATATTAATTTCATTTTTTAGCTTCATTACAAGAACCATTAGAAACATATATAAAACGTTGGAATGGTCTTGTAAAACTTTATCGTACTGGAAAACGTGTTGGTCTAATCGAAGCACGTACTATAGGTGCACAAAAATCAACAGCCGATGTTATTATCATTCTTGATGCTCATTGTGAATGTGTATGTTTTTCAACAGATATGTTTTATTATTTTTTTTTTTTGTTGTTAGGTTATTAATTGGCTTCCACCATTGTTAACACGTATAGCACTTAATCGAAAAGCATTAGCTGTTCCTATTGTTGATGGACTTGAATGGAATACTTTAGAACATACAAATATCTATGGTTCAACTAATTTTCGTGGTATTTGGGAATGGGGATTTTTATATAAAGAAACTCAATTACCAGAACAAGAAGCAAAAAAAAGAAAATATTCATCAGAACCTTATTCGTATGTAGATTATTTATGTTCATTAAGATCATACGATTGGAAAGGCTTCTCATAGGCTGAGTTAACACATTTATAATTTAATTTGAAGCGTAACAAAATCAATTAATGTCAAATTTTTCACATTAGTTACGCGCTTTGACATATGGCTTGATGTTAGTCGAGCAACAGAAGTTTGAATAAAGTATAAAATGTAAGAAAATCCACAAAAAAAGACCAAAGAGAAATTGTTAATAACAATTTAAGTGGTGATCTACGGTTGAAAAACTTTGTGATAGATGAACGGCGCATATGCTGCACTAGATCGATTTTGATAGATACAGTACAATATATGGACATCAACTCCAAGTGTTCTTTTAGTAAATATGTTTCGATCAAATAGGTTATTAAGTATTTCCTCTGCTTGATTTGTTTTTATAACTCACTACATTAATATTCTTCAACTCTTAGAAACAAGTTAGATTTCAGTCAAAAACGTGCCTTCGTATAATACTCAGCTTTATAGTAGAAAGTATGGGTGAAGAGAAGAAGAACATTGGCACCTACAATAGACAGAACGCCATACAACTATTAGAAATTTATTTTACAAATTTACTCATTCTAAGTAGAACTATATATTCATTGTATATTTTAGATCACCAACACATGCTGGTGGTTTATTAGCTATTGATCGTCAATGGTTTTTTGAATTAGGTGCATATGATCCGGGTATTCGTGTATGGGGAGCAGAACAGTATGTTTAATTCTTACTAATTTTCTTCTTCTTGTTTCTAAACATTGATTAAAAACAATTTTAGATATGAACTTTCATTTAAAGTTTGGCAATGTGGTGGTATACTTGAATGGGTACCATGTTCACATGTTGCACATGCTTATCGTGGTCCTCGAAATCATGGATCTTATGTACCTGGATCAAGTCCATATCAAACATCAATAAATCATTTACGTTTAGCTCATGTATGGATGGATGAATATGTTGAATATTATTATCGACGTGAACCAGCTTTACGTAAATTAAACTATGGTGATATATCAGAAAGAAAAAAACTTCGAGAAAAATTACAATGTAAACCATTTAAATGGTTTATGGAAAATATAGCATATGATGTTATGGATAAATTTCCACCACCATCACAAAATGTTGTTTGGGGTGAAGTAAGATATAAGAAAATTGTTTTTCTTGTGATAGAATTCGAAAGAAAATTTTTTAGTGTAAAAATGTTCAACATTCAGTTTGTTTATATGATAATGGTGTTTCATTTGGTCAATCAATTGGTGTTGCTACTTGTTATGGACAGGTATAATTTTCTAGAAAAAAGATTAAAAAAAAAACAACTAATGAGAAAAGTGCGTTTTATGGTTTCTAGAGATGGTTGAATAGAATATTGAATCCATTTATGATAGGATTGGTGAATAAATAGAATTGCTTTCTTTTTTCCTTGTTTGAATGATTATGTTTTGTTTTGATTATCACTTTTGATATTGTGAGGAAAAAGCAAAAAAAAAAAAGAAGTAGAGTAAGAATAGATTTTCAAATTCATGTGTGTCAAGCTAAAGTAACTTTAGAAATGAAATCGGCTAATTTTAAAACTTCATATTATTAAAATGTTCTGATATACGATTTGTAGTTGTATATGCATGAATGCTTCGATATACAGAGTTTCATCAGTTTTGGATATTCAATTTCTAAGATATGAATGTATCGAGACCTTCAGATGGATGACGGACATTTCGTACTAAGTCATTCCGAATTCCTGTCCTATGTCCGGATGTTCGGAAATGATTTTTGTCCTTAAAAAATCTTTGACGAGAGTTCGTAACCCTTTTTGGACGGGACATTGTATTGAAAAAAAACAGAAAGAGTGAGATTAGGAATTCGGAATGGCATGCTCATTACTATATGTGATATAGTGTCTGGAGAGCGGATGTTCGGAATAAAATTCTAAGAGTTTTTTTTTCATAGGAAAAGGTCTGAAGATCGTAATAAAACTGACCGACAGTTCGTAATGTGATTTACCGGAAAGTCGTAACAGATTTGTTCTGATATTGATAACGGTTGTAAAGACTTTTCTTTCTTTCTTATCATGAAGATTTTCTTTCAAAAGTCATGATGTTCGTAATAAAAAGCATATGCATGTAACGAATAATAATGATAAATACAAGCACTTGAGTTACAATAGAAATATTGACTGCTTGAATTCATTAGGACATTCTATGTGTGCCATTTTATAATAAAAACTAGTGAGTCACGTAACATCTCCCAATGAAGAGCAAACATGAACACAGTTTCGAACAATCTGTCTTTTTTTTTTCATTAAGATTCCTTGCAATTTTGCATTACGATCTCACTGCCTTTATTGTTACGATCTTCCGGTCATTCTCAGTTAAATTTTCAAGTTTTTATCTGTCAAAATCAACTATCGCTGTTCGTTACGATCTTCTGAACAACTTTCATTACGAACATCCTGTCTTTTTTTTCTTATGTCAGATGGTCGTAACGAACATAATATCACTGGTGATCGTAATGAAAAGTTAGTGCGAAATGTTCCTTTCCCGTAATTAGTTACTGTGTACATGAAATTCAAGCGATTAAGCACAAAAACACTCTGTAAGGCCCGTCTTCTTTCTGTCAAGTCTTTGAGAGAATGTACGAATTTTTATCCCCATACTTCAACACTACTTTTAGATCGTGAAATTATATGCATTTTTTTAAATATTTTGAATGAACTAAAACCTTTATATAAGCATTTGACAATCCTTCATAAAAACGAATATGTCATTCAAGGAGAAAAAAACAAACTTCTAATCTACATATTAATCACACTAGTCAATTGTTATTATCATAAGCAATATGCAAATATTATTTTTCATGAGTACGACATATAGAACTCATGAAAAATGAATTTCATATTAAAATTATTCAATAATAAAATAAAATATTATCAAGCAAACAATTTGAAATAGTTTAATCAGTGCTTGTGTATATTTTTCTTATCACATATTTGTTTTTTTTTTGCTTTTTTCTCCTTGGTGTTATGTTTATATTTTAAAGAATATTTTTAATAATTTTAAGTATTGAATTTGTTTAAGGGTTCTTGGCGTTTAAATGAAGGAGGTGAACTTGCTATTGGTGAACATTGTTATATATCTGATCATGATATTATAAAAAAGAAATTCTGTTTGGATCATAATGGTCGATGGAATCCAATTGGTGAATGGCAATGGGATAATGTAAGAAGAATACAATAAAAAAACAAAAATAATTTTCAATTTACTTTCTTTTTTTTTTTAAGGTAACACAACAAATGCGAAGTAATAAAGAACATTTATGTATGGAAACAGATGGTAGTAAATTAAAATTAGCAAAATGTGATGAAGAAAATAAATCACAAAAATGGATTTGGAGAGAAGTTTATTATTGACAATTTTTCCTTTTTTTTTTTTTTTGTTATTGTTTATTTTTTTCTAATATTTTCAACAAAAACTTTCCATTGAAAAAAAAAACAAAAAGAAAAATCTTCATATTTTTACTTTTACTTTTTATTTCGATGTTATACTTTCTCATTCTATTTATTTTGTTTCTTTTTAAAATCTAAATTTAGATATTATTAATAAAAATTTTGCCTTAAGATTTGTTTTTTTTTTGTTTCAAATATACAAGATCGTTTCTCAAAAAGTATTCAAGTGTGGTTGACATCGATAGTTATAAAGATCAGTAGACAATTAAATAAAAAAGAAAATATGTCAATAAGAACATAGTCAAAACATCTTATTCCACATGATTTATATGGACTTCTTATTGGAAAATACAATGTACTTCCTCTCATACTTTAGTCATAGTGCGATTGTGCTTTTTTAATCATTTTACTTGATATTCCATAATAAATATATTGTTCAGTTATCGTAGAAAAAGTACGTGAATAGTGAATACATTTTGTCTTTGATTATTAGTTGGCTAATTTGGAATGAATTAACAGCGTCAGACATACACATATATATTAGTATCCAATATAAGATCCGCATTGGTCATTGTTGTATCTAATGAAGGAATATCTTCAATTGATTAATTGCTTTTGAATTTGAACCCGGTGCATAAGGTAGACTCCAGTGAAATATGAAAAACTTCAAAATAATTTTGAATTGAAGTTTTACCTACAGACAGATCTATGTCATACTAAATTTTGGTTCTGAAATCAATGTTGGATACATCAATTTTTATTCTTAAACTAATAGAAGTTGTTACAAAAATTTCTTATGATTATTCAAGTGTAAATTACCATTCATCAATAGACTACCTACTTATGTTGTAGTTCATTAAACAGAAATTCTGAAATTCAAATCGAATTTTGATCGCAACTTTAAGTTGAATACAAGTTTGGATCAGTTAACAGTTAGATATTACAATGGCCTAGAGGTAGATCTTAAACTGGACACTGACATATGTAGAAATAATCGAAGAATACTTTGATTGTTTATTTAAAAAAGAATTATTCTATAAAGAACTTTTTCTGTAATAATATTCATAGAATCAGGAATGTTCCGATGGAATAATCCTCAATTTTAAAGAATTTTCATTTTTCTGGAATTTAGTTTTAACATTTTACTATTTTCTTTTATTCATCGATTCACAAAAAAATGCATATCTTTTCGCACAATCTGCAATCATACGAGTTGATCAGGATAAGAGAAATTTCTACTTGACTTTCAGTGGCATTCAAGAAGTGACAACGAAGAGAAGATCAACTAATAATACTTATAATAGTTTCCCGAACTATCATACATTAATTCTAAATTCTAATATTTTTGTTTGCCTTATCGCGCCAAATATTTCATATTATAATTATGTTTTCTTTTTTTTTAGATGCTTTTAATCGGTGATTCTCTCTTGCATCATGTTCGTAAACCAACAACATCACCATGTGAATCTGTTGAAACTTATATTGAATCAATTGGTGGTTGTACCATTGATCGTTTAATAGTATTAATTAAACAAGATTATTTTAAAAGATTATTTTTAAATCAAAAACATTTAATAATTATAATTGGTACAAATAATTTAGCACGTGAAAAATCTCAATCAACAATAATTAAATTAGAAAAATTATTTGATTTAATTAATCGAAAATATTCATATTTAAATACTATAGCTATATGTACTGTACCAGAACGTACAAAAACAAGTATTTTTTATCGTACATATGGTGATAATGGTGGTAAATCAATACGTAAACGTATTAAAAAATATAATAAAAAATTAAAACAATTAAGAAAAAAACAAATTAAATCAAAACGTTTTTCAATTATTAAATTAAATTTTGATTTATCATTACATATATCAAATGATGGTTTACATCCAAATGCTATGGGTATTGAACATATATCAAATATTTTACAAGATTATGCAAATACACTCAAAATTATATGATTTATAAGTTTTGTCAAATATGAAATTGTTTATCATTTTGTTGGCTTGTTTTTTTTATATGTATTGCGTACATCTTCTGATATAGATGAAATAAAATAAAACATAAATATACATTGATTTAATTGTTATGCTTCTTTTTTTTTTCTAAATTAATGAAAAATAAGCTTGAATAAATAGTAAAATTCTTCTGTAGGAATAACATTCATAGTCTATCTAGAAGAAGAGAGAGTCTTGACTAATATGAATTGATAGACACAATTTCTAGTGTAAGTAAAAATATTTAAGGGAAAGCTCTCTTTACAAACGAACTAAAATTTCAGAGAATGTTAATCTTGGTTAGAGTAGATGATGATTAAAATATCTCGTCAAATCTGCGAGATATTCACGAATTATAGTCAATCTATTGGTCAATAATACCTTGTACGTAGGCAAGGTTTTCACAATCATAACATGGCGAGGCTATTTTTAAGTTGTGGGTGTACTCTTGGTGCTAGATTCTCATAGAGTTTGATTTTTGAAATTTCATTTATTTGCTCTATTAAAAAAACAAAATTCTCAAATTCATGGCCAAAAAAATCGCTGATAAAAATGAGATTTGTAGGTTTTTTATTTCATCAATAGAGAAATTCAAAAATTGGGCTCTATAATTTTGCTCTATCTAACGAGTTACAAAATTGATGAATTTGACAAAAACTAACTTTGTTTGAGACGGAACACTTCTTAACAAATGATAGTTTCAATACAATTTAAGTCGAGATTGTGCGACTTTTACTCATAGTGACGAAGGTCAAAGATTATAGTAACAATGAGGACGGAAGAACTTAAAGTCAATAGATACGATTTCATAACAACTAAAATCAGATTTCTTTCGCAGAGTTCCTCAACAATATAAAAAAAGCATATTATGACTGCTCTGGAATATTTTAGAGCCTTCAATTCTTATCAAGAATAAGGGACAATGTTTCACTATAATTATCATATGATCAATAAAAGTTTGCAAGCTTCATACTATTCTTATTTTCATTAATAATCTACATGTAACAATCTTTGCATACAATCAATTTTCGTCTACTTATAAGTTACTAAAGAAATACAAAGTAATCAACTGCAATCAAATTTTCAAGAAAGATCAACATCGATCAGTGGCGTACGCAGAAATTTTTCAAGGGGGGGCCCAACTTCGTAGGGAGGGGCCGGCCATGGCACAAAAAAATTTTTATCACGTGAAAATATTTTTTCCTGTACCCCCCTCCAGGACTTTTTCGTCTCAAGGGGGGGGGGGGGCGGGTCCCCTCGCCCCCCCCTGCGTACGCCACTGACATCGATGTTGTTTGTACAAACTGTTAAACGAAAATTGATTTTTAATGAATCATGTACTATATATCCGTGCAGTACCGAAAGAATTTTTAAATAACCAATAGAAAGAAAGTCTTTATTATCTTCTTTTTTATGTTTAATGTAATGTTTTAGATAGAAATGGCCACGTCTAATTCATTTCTAATGGATTCACTTAGTGATTCTTTATTAGCAGCTATTACAGAAACATCTTTCCATGAATCTAATCATCCACCCGTTGCTGGTAAATTTTTTATTCAAATAGAAAAAAAAAATTTTTATTTTTACTTTAGAAAAACCTCTTAAACCTTTAAGTGAATTAAATTTACCAATAGCTGTTATTAATTGTTATCAACGTTTTGGTATAACACATCTTTTTGCTTGGCAAGCTGAATGTCTTGAAAAAGCAAGTGCAAATGGTAAATAGAATTTATTTTAATTTTATTCAAATAAGTTTTATATATATATATATGTAGGAAAACGAAATTTTATATATTCAGCTCCAGGTTTGTTTTTTATTTGAAAATATTTTTTTTATTTGTAATTGAGTTTTATATAGCTTCAGCTGGAAAAACTATTGTATCTGAATTACTTCTAATTAAATCAATATTTGAAACAAAACGAAAAGCATTATTTATTGAACCTTATATTAGTATTGTTCAAGAAAAAGCAAATTATTTTCGAGTATGTTTTTATTAAATTTACTTAAATAAAAAAAAAAAAAAAAATTTTTTTTAGAAACTTTTTTCATCTCTTCATTTACGTATTTCATCATATGCTAATACAAATGATTCTTATCATTCATTTTTTAATAGTCATATTATAATATGTACAATAGAAAAAGCTAATAGTATAATAAATCGTTTATTATCAAATCATAATGATTTAAATCAAATAGGTATTATAATTGTTGATGAATTACATTGGATTGGAGAAATAAATCGTGGTTATTTACTTGAATTATTATTAAGTAAAATAATTTATTATAATCAGTTACAAACAATAAATAATTCAATACAAATTATTGGTATGAGTGCAATAATACCTAATTTAAATCAATTATCACAATGGCTTAATGCTGAAAGTTATGAAACAACATTTCGTCCAATACCACTTGATGAATATATTAAAATTGAATCAATATTATATAATAAACAATTTTTACCTATACGACAATTAAATTTATCTGAACAATGGAATCAAGGTGATAATGAAGGTATAACAGAAATTATTTGGAATATTATTGAACATAATTATTGTAATGTACTTGTATTTTGTTCGACAAAACATTGGTGTGAAGTTTTAGCTAAATTATTAGCAAAAAATTTTTATCAAATTATTCATGATAAACAAATAAATCCATTAGATAAAATAAAACTTGAAGATATTATTGAACAATTACGTCGAACTGTAAATAAATAATAAGATTATATTTTAAGATTAATTATTTTTTTTTTGCATAGCCCGCTGGTCTTGATGTTGATCTTGCATGTTCAATACCAATGGGTGTTGCTTTTCATCATGCTGGTAGAAAAAAATTTTTTTTGTGTTTTTTGTAAAATATAATAATTCAATATGTATTATTATTGTTTTAGGTTTAACAATTGATGAAAGAGAAATAATTGAAAATGCTTATCGTGCAAATATTATTCGTGTTATTGTTTGTACAAGTACATTATCTAGTGGGGTAATTTATATTGAATGTTGCTTGCAAAAAATAATTATTATTATAATTAGGTTAATCTTCCTGCTCGTCTAGTAATTATACGAAGTCCATTACAAAATGGTCGATGTATTGATTTAAGTACATATCTTCAAATGGTATGATAATATTTGTTAATTTTAAAATATTATTTATTATTTTTTTTTATTGAGGTTGGTCGAGCTGGTCGAAAAGGTTATGATGATTATGGTAAAATGAATTATTTAATTGATTTTTTATTTTGTTTTTTGTTTTGATTTAATTAGCTGAAAGTATTTTAATTTGTTCAAAAAAAGAAGTTAATCTTGTACAAAAAATGTTTGAACAACAAAAAATTAAACCAATAAATAGTTGTTTTTTTGAAAATGAAAAACATATAAGTTTTAAACGAGCTTTACTTGAAATTATTTCAAGTGGAAAAGCTAATACAAAAGAACAAATTCTTAAATATATTAAATCAACATTTTTTTATATTTGTATTAATTCTAATAAATTAATAATAGATGAACAATTAATAATTAATAAATGTCTTAATTGGTTATGTGATAATGAATTTATTTATTGTATAGATAAAGAAAATATTGATAATGATAATAATTTACGTTATGAACCAACACAACTTGCTTTAGCAGTTATTAATTCATCTATTAATCCAGATGATGGACTTAAACTTGTTGTTGAATTAAATAAAGCTCAACGAAATCTATGTCTTGAAAATGATTTACATCTAATCTATCTTGTAAATTGTTTTTTTTTTTTTTTAATAAACTTTCATTGATATAATAGCAATTAAATTTAGATAATTCCACAACATTTGATCAATTCAATGTTGCCAACTCTCGATTGGAATATATTTCATACTGTTTGGCCAACAAGTGCTGTTGAACAACATGTCGCACATTTAGTTGGTGTTAATGGTATGATTGTATATAAAAAAGCAGCATCATTACGTATTGAAAAACGTGAATATGAAGAAAAATTAGATGGATTACGTTATGCAAGATTTTTTATTGCACTTATTCTTAATGATTTATTAGCAGAAAAAAATATGTGTGATATAATAAGAAAATATGAATGTACAAAAAGTTTTATTCAACAATTACAACAAACAACAGCTACATTTACATGTATTGTACAAATATTTGCTGAACGTCTTTCATGGAATAATTTAAAACAATTATTAAATGGTTTTCAATCGCGATTAAATTTTGGTATTAAACAAGTATGAAGTTTTATAAAAAAAAATCGTTAGAAAAACAAAAAACCTTTACTCTTGATCAATAGGAATTATGTGAACTTGTTCGAATTTCAATTTTAAATGCTTGTCGAGCTCGACAACTTTATTCCGATGGTTTTACAACTATTGCTTCTTTAGCAAATGGTGATGTTTATGAAATTGAACGAAGTATTCAAAAAGCAGTTCCATTTCAAACGTAAGAATATTTTGTTTTTTTTTTTTTTTTTGAAGTTTAAATATATTTTCGAAGAGAATAATGAATGTAAATTTAAATCAAGACTCTTCTGAGTTTCTTAGCAATGAAAAAAAGAGACTCAACGACATAAATATTTGAGCTGATCTAGAACATTCTAAAACTTTTCTCGAAATTTCAATGACTAAAATACATTCATGCATATTCAAAATAATACAATTTTTGCGATAGATAACAAAGGCCGTTGGGTGTAGGGCTGTACCGCTCACGCTCATGAGCGCTCATATGAGCGTGAGCGGTACAGCCCTAGTCATATGAGCGTGAGCGACCACCCCTCACCTGAGCATGAGCGTAGGGCTGTACCACTCACGCTCATGAGCGTGAGCAGTACAGCCCTAGTTGGGTGCAAGACTTTCAGATCCGAAACTGGTTAACAGAAAAATTTCAGGCCTATAATCGACTAGACGTACGTCCGAAGGCAACCGGATGAGCTCTAATCGTTTGTAATGTATTGATTTACTACGATCATCATATACAGATTTTTTTGAGCTTATGAATATGTACAAAAGATTCATTTGCCCATTAGATCAATGGTTAAAATAATAATACTGTTAAATTAAGAAAAAGAGACCTTTCACTTAGTTTTGATAAACTAAATAAAATTCTATGTAGAGCAGCACAACAATTAGCTGATGAACGTATGGGTCAAGTAAGACGTGATCAATATTGTATATTTGTACCTGGTCGACCACCATTAACAAATGCACAAGCAGCAAAAGAAATTATTGAAGAAGCTAAAATATTACTTCAACATGATTTACAAGCTATGGGTTTTGGTATTGTTATTCAAAAATCACAAAATGAGAATAAAGGTAGAAATCTTTTTTTTTTGTTTTTGAATTTATCAATATACTTTTTTGTTTTTTGATTTTCTTGATAGATGAACATATTTCAAATTCGGATACAGATTCAGATGAAGAAGAAAATGATAATGATAATGATAATTTTTCACCAAAATTATCTTCAACTATACAATTTCCATGTTTACTTGATGATAAAAATATAAATGTTCGTAATGCTTATCTTGATGGAAAATATATTTGTTCAGAATTTATTTTAATGATTGAACATAAAGAAACTATTGCTATTAGTTGTTTTACTAAAAAAATAACAAAAACAATTTCGAGTATATAATTTAAATTATTTATTTTTTTTATTTAAAATTATAAGATTTATTTTTTTTTCTTTCTTCTCCTAGATCCAAATGTTTTTCATATTAATAATCAAGAAGAATTATATTTACAATATGTTGCTTGTGCTTTTAGTGTTCATAAAGTTTATATCATTGACATCGCAGAAGATGAACAATGTAAGATATGAAAAGCACGTTAGTCATGTTGAATATCTATGCAAATAATGTTTTGTCTGTCAGGATTCATTATATCCGATGATTGTTCTACATCATAATTAATATTAGCGGTTAATGCAGCTCTACACAACTACTGTCTTTGTATTCCAACTAACATATTCTTGTCGGCACAAAATTTATAAGATGAACATCTACTCAATCGACAAATTATGGCGGTCAAAAAAAAACAAAAACGTTCTCATAAGGATTTCACTAAAATTTAAAATATGCTTTAAAATACTCGATGAAACTCCGTATCATTGGATATATGCGAGAAAATCTAAATTTCGCTTTGAAAAACATGATTTTTAAAAATTCGTCTAAAAATGTCATTAAGTGTTTGTTCAAAGTCTTATTCTTTTCAACAACAACAGCGAAAGCTTTCAAAACAATTGTAGAAGCATAGAACATGACATTCTCTATCCATCAGTGCCAAATACTTTACTTTTAGTATAGTTTCTAATGAACGAAAATTTACTGGACTTCTGCAGAAAATCAGAACTCGTAGTTTGAATATTGAGTCAGTGTTCATCTTTTAAATTTTACGCCGACAAAAGAAAAGTTATTTGAAAAAATCATTAATACAGCAAAAGCGAATATGTAGTTTTCATTAGGTTCATAATCAAAATTATTTTTGTCAGTTGTATCGAATATCTTGATAGACCGATGATCACTGGAGAGCTGCGGATCCACGTTTTTTTGGACCCGAGCCCAACTGGATCCGAGTCTAGGACCAGTCAAGCCTAGACTCGAGTTTTGTTTACACTGAAATATAGTATTAGAGAGCTGCAACCCGAAGTTATGGTGGACCAGGACCCGGTGGGGCTTGGGTCCGGCTCTGGACGGATCCGCAGCTCTCTAGTGATCACCGTCACCATTTTATTCCTATTCTTATTCAACTGGTGATATTTGATCTCTTCAATACAATTTGTTATACAATAAACCATTTTTCTACTTTAGACTTTCAACAACATCGAATGTCGGCACTTATTCATATACGAGAAAAGTTAATGAATCGACAACATAATGTAATTGTATTCAATGCATTGCATACATTATTTACACTTTCATCTTATTTAGCTATACCAAGAGTATATGGTTGGTATTATTTTGTTAAATAATTTTATTAATTATTCTAAATTTTTTAGCACGAATTATTGATTTACAAGTATGTGCATGGTTAAAACAAGATCCTATTGATAGCGAACGTATTTCAACTTGGATTGAAGAACATCATAGTGTACTTCAATTTGATAGTAAAAAAGAAAAACAAAATAATTAAAATTTTTTCTATTATTTTATTTTAATAGAAAGTCTTGATGCATATAAAGATCATTGTCATCGTGAAATGGTATATTTTAAAATTGCTGGTGAAGTTCTTCTTTATGCATCAATTGTTCCAATAATTGAACAACAAATGAATAAAATAAATTTATGGAATTATTATATAACTATTGAAATGCCAGCATTGAATATTATTCTACAAATGTTACTCAATGGAATTTTAATTGATCGTGAAGAATTAATTAATGCTCGAGAAGATCTTCTTGTATATTTAAATATATATTTAATTCTGATATTTATGATTTATTTTAGACTCTAATGAATAAACTTGAATTACAAGCATATCGTTTAGTTAAACGTCGTTTTAAAATGAATAGACAAAAAGATCTTATAAAAGTTAATAAAAAAAAAATATATATTTTTTTTTAGTAAAATTTTATTTTTAGATTCTTTATGGTGAACTTCATTTACCAATACAACGTACACCACATGGTCGTATATGTTTAAAAAAATCTTATTTAAATATTTTAGCTAATAAACATCCATTACCAAAATTAATTACTGAATATCGACAAATTCAAAGTGCACTTGATCGATGTATTGATCGTTTTGAACAAGTAGATATTCAAATTGAAAATTTCGATATTTATCTTCTATTTTTTTTTTCATTTAGTATATTAATGAACCAATTAAACCACAATCATTACAACGTTTACGACGAGAAGCTTCATGGCAAACTGAACGTACTTATGCTTATTGTCATTTTTTTACAGTAACTGGACGTATGATTGTTATTAATCCACCATTACAACATGTTCCAAAACGTTTTCTTATTCAATCATTACAAAAAGAATCAATAGTTCGATTAAGAAAAATGATTATTGCTCGAACAGGTAATAGTAAATATTGTAAAACAAAACAAAAGTAACTTCGTGTATTTGTATTGATACTACAAAATTATCTATCAATAAAAATGTTCAATAGATAAGATCTGATTGGCAAAACCTAAGGAGAATTTACTGCTGCCCCTTCCATAGATCATGACAAGAAATTTGATAATATTCTTCTTGAGAGTATGAATAACATGTTTCACATTTTAATTCCATAAGAACTTGAAACTACTCTTGTTCAGGTCTATCTCTATACAAAATTTCAAATCGAAACTCGGAAACTAGTTGTCCTGATGAAAACCATTCAAAGAAAAAAAAAGTATGTGTTTATCTGAAACTTCAAAGATAATCGAAAGGCTGTAAGACTTGTTCCAGAGTGAATTTTTCAACTTAAATACCATTCTTGCATAAAAATTCTTGAGGAACTTTTCATTGTATTTAAAAATGTTGTTAATTCTTCTAATTTAAAGTAGATCAAGAAGGAGAGATATACCAGTGACAAAGAAATTTCTCCGAGTGATAAATTACTTTTAAAATGAGTTTGAATTTCTTAGATAGATTCTATCAAAATTAGAGGAAACGAAAAATTATTCGTGTTTATGAGTCTGATACTTTCAAAACATACTGATCCTATTGAGAAGTTTATTTATGTAAAATTTAAAATCAAAAATCGATTTCAAGAAAACAGATTCGTGAACATGAGTCTTTGAATTTTTGTTCAATAAAATACATGACGTTATCATAACTGATCTAATATTTTAGTTTTATATTACATAATTTTGTTAGTAGATAAATTTTTGTACTTTTTCTAAATTATTTTCATTGTTTTATTAAAAATACAATATCTTTCTAGATTTTCAACTTGTTTCATTTGATTATTCTCAATTGGAATTACGTATTCTTGCACATCTATCAAATGATGAAAAATTAAAAACACGTTTAATAAATGATACTGATTTTTTCATATCACTTGCTGCTGATCTTTTAAAAAAATCTGAACATGAAATAACATGTGAACAACGTCAAAATGCTAAACAAGTATAAAATTCTCTTTTTCTTCTTATTACTAATCATGTTTAATATTTTTTGATTCATTCCTAGATATGTTATGGTATTCTTTATGGAATGTCAAAAGAAACATTTGCACGTGAAACACAAATGAATATAAATGATGCTGAAGAATTTATTGAAAATTTTTATAAAACATTTCCTATAATGACTCAATATCTAAATGATATTAAACAACGAGTTCTTGAAACTGGTTTTGTACAAAGTATTTATGGACGTTCATTATATTTTGATTTAAATCATATGACATCGAATGAAATGATGAAAGCTCGAGTAATTTAAATTCATTTTTTCTGTTTTCAAAAAAAAAAGAAAATTTACTTTTTTTTGAAAAAGATGGAACGACAAGCAATAAATTTTGTTATTCAAGCATCTGCTTGTGATATAATGAAAGTGGCCATGGAACGTATTAATCAAACATTAGATCGAACATTTCCTTTTGATTTAAAAAGTAAAAAAAATCTTTTTTTTTTCGTAAACAAAAACAAAAACAAAAATGATATAATGATTTATTTGTTTAGTTCGTCCAACACCTATTCGACCAGTTTATCTTGTTTTACAAATTCATGATGAATTAATATTTGAAATTGAAATAAGTTTACGTACAAATGAAATTATTAATATAATTCGTCATGCAATGGAAAGAAATGATTATATTAATTTATTATTACCAGTACAAATTAAATCGGGTGATAATTGGGAATCAATGATATCCGTTGTATAAAGAAATCGATATTTTTGATTATTATTTTGTAAAAAAAAACAAATAAATCTGTTTGTTTGATAATTTTCTGAGCATGCTCGAAAATATGATTTAATATTAAGAGTTTATCCGTTAAAGAAAATAAAGATTTTCTTACACAATTATATTTACAAAAATTAAATATTTTATTACAATAGGACGCACTCTCTATTAAATGTTCTAGTTCCATCATTAGCTTCTCTACAAAACGAGTAGAATGAACGTAGTAAAATTGTTTTAACCAATTACATAGTTATACAGAAAAATTATCCTAATGTGAAAAAACTTTTTATCGTTGACTAGAAATACAGTAGTGGACAGTTAAGATTTTTTAACTTTCAAGGGACATTGCGAGATAATAAAAAGCTTTTGAGATCGACCTTTTTTCGTTCAATAGAGTCTACTGCCCAATAATTTCATTTTTCGCCGGATGAATTGATAACCGAAAAACGATTCGAAACCACTATATATATAATTAATTAGAGCATTATGAAATTGATCGATTACAATCTCAAAGTTAATTAAGTATGTTACCTAGCTGAGACAGAGATGGAATCGGTACCGATCTATATTTTTCACTTTCCTGCTCTATGATGGTATTCACATGAAAAAACAACTGGCACTAAGACTAGTCTCATTGATTACAAAGGAATTGATTTCTAGAATGCTTCTCAATAAGACTATTGTTATCAATGATGAAACGTTATACCAGTATGCATGAAAGTACGAAAGTAGCCCACAAGAGAGTTCACTATAAAACAAGATTTCATTTTAAGCCTCAGCCTGTGGTCTGTAGATCGATATTTTGTCGGTAGGTCGGATTTTTTCTGATAAACTAACATATCATCAGCATCCTGTTTAGGATCGGTTCCATCTATGAGCTGAGGATCTGGGTATAGATGAAAAAAAGAATGAGATCTCCATATACACTCAACTTCTACGTTGGCTACCGACTGTGATAGTAACTAATTGATTGGATAAGGAACGACTTTGGTCTTCAAATTTCTTTTGTTCAAAGATTTCAAATAAAATAGCTTATATTATATTTGGGCTATTGTATGTGAAACCTTTGAATGAAGGTAGTTCACTAATACTCTTAAGTCTTCATAGAAACTGATATTGTTTTAAGATTTTATCACAATGCATAGAGACAATTAAACATTTTAATTTCTACTTCCCGTTAATACACTCAATGACAAAAATCTCATCTCAAGAGATTCGTTAATTAGTCACACTCATGATATAATTAATTGTTTATTTTTCTTCAACGTTATTTATTTCAAAAAAACTAAAAAGAAAAATAAATCTTATCATCTATTAATTTATTAAAATTTTTTACGCTAAATTATTTGCAACTAAAACAGTTGGTTTTGGTAACTACATTTAATTCATTTTCATTTAAATGATTATTCGTAATTATAACTTTATCAGCATCTTGTAAGACAGTAATAGCCTTACCATTATTATCTCCAAAATAATTATTATTAATCATAGCTTGTCCATGTTGAATCTCAATAGTTGATAATGTTTTATTCCATTGATTAAATAATAAATCCCTAATCGAAATTAAACCTGAATGTGACCAAATAAGATTTTGATAAAATTGTCCCCAAAATGATGCACCACGGACAGGGTGTGGGGTGGGTGTGGGTGGGGTGTGGGTATACACATCACTAGATTCGCAGACCCACTTCCACACCACACACCCACACCCACTGACATCGACGCCCACATCCACATCCCACACCCTCTAGATCAGCATTGAATGTTAATGCTGAGAACATCTGTTGCTCGAGCCATGGGCATCAGCCATCGTCGACCAAGTTCAATATCACTACATAAAGGGTGAAATCCATCGTCTGTTGCCTAAGCCGATTCTGTTCGTACCAGATCAAGTTCCAATTACGTGTTGAATCTGAGAATAAGTCCATCGAAAATGCATCATTACTCGGCGGAGCAACTTTTTTGTTGATCGAATTAATGACAAACGCGTATTTATCAGCATAGCCAGTATCTGATGCCCAATAGTGATTATGTGCAGCCATCGGGATACGATTTAGTCGATGATAAAGCACTGGAAAGCAATCAGAAAAGATATCTGGTCACTCCATCCACCCAGAAGCGCCATCTGCTAACCCTTTGTAATACCATCAAGAGTCCAGCTGCATATAATGAATGGGCAATCCGATATTTTGAATCGGTTGTTATTGTCTCTTCATAGTTCATTCCTCCTTCAATATGATAGTAATAATATCCACCATTGTCTGTATAGTAGCTTAGATAACGAATAGTTAAATCGTTGAGACGATATTCCTTCGTACGATTCGATGCTTGTTGTGTTGATTGACCTCATTCTTGCATAACCACGTTCGCGCCTTTTGATGAATAGTACAAAATCATTGAATTTGAATGATTTACTGGAATCATCGGAATGGAACTGAACATTTCATATTCAAGTGCGTTTTCACTTGGATAGAGGAAAGTGGCTATAGATTGTGAGAAAGGCGAGAGAACCACTGCATCGCCTTATTCTTGCTGAGTAAGATGGAATACAACCAAAGATCCTTCCATAACACTTCTGTTGATTGCTTCATTTGTAATGCCCTACTGTTCAGCATTCGTCTTCACTTCTTCCACCATAAAGTCCTATGGAAAGATTCATCAATAGACAAATTAACATAAAGAGAATATCTCTCACCTCCGAATGAGAGAAAGTCTCGATGATCATCGACAGTAATCTGTTCGATGGCAACGGATGAGAAAACAGATCGAATTTGATACATATCGAGATTAACCGTACTAGAGTCAGCAGTTGATCACCCGTATTTAAATGAAAAGTAATCGCTAGCAGAAAACCCCATTGTCGTACAGAAGCAGTCACATTCGTTGCTGTTCCATCTCGAGTAAGTCGATAGATCAATTGGGTTTGGTTCTATGTATTTAGATTAAAATCATTGCCTTGAAAATTATGAGTGTCGATCGGAGATAGAGAACCATCATCAGATTTGTACCAGCGATTGTCAGCATACAAAGCTGTATGAGATGAGCGAAACCACACTTGATCATTGATACTAATATTGTACTCACTGTTGACTCAATTAATTGACGCACTGACATCGCCAGTACAAAAAACTGCTAGCAGAATAATGGCTACTAACACAACATACATCTCCAAACAGATATTAATCGAAATGATAATGTTCGTTATCTCAACCGACTACGTTTCTCTATTAGCTTTGTTTGACCAAGACAAATATCAAGTGACATATCAAGGAGCGATATACAATGGCTATCATCTCTGCCAAAAACCGTTATTTTAAAAATCTAATTGTACAATGAATCAATGTTTTCGACGAGGATCTGTCAATATAGATGATACTGACATCTTGTGTTAACGCAAAAATACATTGTTTTCTAACCGATTAGTACTGAACGAAATTATTTTCAGTATATCAATTACTTGCATCCAAAGTTCGATGTCTTTTCAAATTGCGCTCTTTTATTTATTTCACAACTATTTGTTTGACACAGCAGAAATGACCTTGAATCGTTTTTGAAATCACGCGTTGTTGACATCTGAAAATTATTATTGACGAAAACAAAACCCACTATCCTTTTGAACTTTAATAAATACAAGTTTGAATTGATTTGATTAGATCATTCTGTTTCGTAAAAATGAATGAATATTATACCGTATATCATTTATAGGAAAACAAAATATGGAATCTATCGTATCAACTGAATATATTTGTGATAAAATAATTTTAGCTAAATTAGTATGATAGATATAATAAAAATATATTTTTTCATTTATAACTAATTTAATAATGTCTATACAAGGTTCAGATTAAACATATACATTGTGAAAAGAAACTAATTGCATATTCTTGTTATTTTTCGTCAAACTATGTAATATAAATTGGTTAAGACAATTCAGATAAATGAGTCAAATTTATACTAATCGGGAACATAACAAATCCACACAGATCGATGATAAATGGACGACAATCATGGATAAGTGAAATACAAATCTTCATTGAATCTATCATTCTTCATGCCATTATAAATGTACAGTCCTATTCTGTGGCACATCAAGTTATTGAGTAACCTTTAACAAGGACAAAATGTTTGTCTCACATAATAATACACTTATGGATGACGCTTCTATGCTTGCGCGAGAGAAAGAATGATATGTTGATTGTACATCCACAAGCCTGTCTATTTTAGACGCTGTTTATATGGTAAAAATAATTGTTGTTTCTTCCTCTGCTTATCTCGCATCAGAAAAACAAACTAATCAACATAGACCAGTAATAGATCTGTCATGGTTTTGTTTTCGTATGAATATGTGTGGAATGGCGATATATAAACAATAGCAGAAGAGATTCATCGTTCTTATTCATCTAGTATTTTACTTGTAGTATATTTTCTATAGTAAGGTAAAGAAGATGGCCAATTATGGACCTGCGTATGGAACACTAGCCAGCAATCAAATGAAGGTGAGAGATCTAATTCATCACAAATAGACAGATAAAGGAGTTCTCAAGCAAGCGGACGATTACAATGGTTTTTTCTTTGATGTTCTTAATGTATTTTTTTTTAATGAGATACAGATCGGTGAAAAAGTTTCTATAGAGAGATTGAAACTACTCATTATTTCTTTATTCTTCCCTTTGCGAGAACATTATTCCGATAGATCAGAAGAAACTACTACAGTATAACTTATCCATCAAGTAAAAGATTTGTCATACCGACAACTACCGCACTTATTTCTTGCTCTTTCGCCACTGCCATTATTCCGACGCAGTCAAATACATCAGAATTGTTTAGATGGCGCTTAAACGCGATCCAGAGCTTGATAAGGAAGCGCAAGCATGGATTGAATCAGTCATCAGTGAGAAATTTCCAAATTGTCCTTATGAAGATGCTCTCAGAGATGGAACTATCTTGTGCAAGTATGTTATCTGTCTATTGATTAATCAATTGAATTTGATTCTTCTTTTTTTCTTCCAATAAAAATAAAAGATTGATGAATAAACTTCAACCAAATGCCATTCCAAAATATTATACAGTAGGTGGAGGATTTCGATCACGTGAAAATATGTCACTTTTTCGTAAGAACAGAAACTTTTTGTTTTTATAATTACTCAATTTGTACATATAAAATAGAAAATGCGGCTCGTGCCTATGGTATACCTGATCTGGAGCTATTTCAAACAGTAGATCTTTATGAAAAACGTAATATTGCTCAAGTAACAGATTGCATATTTGCACTTAGTAGACAAGTGAGTAAAGTAATTGAATGAAATCAGAAATCCGTTCACTCTTTTTTCTTCTCTTCTAGGCGGAAAGAAAGAATTTCAAGGGACCCATACTCAATCCCAAAACGCCCCAACATCATGGATTCGGAATCAACGAACGACAATTATTTGCTAGAAAAAGCTTGACCGGTCTTCTCGACGAAGGTTTGAACATGCTTGCCAATCGTTCTAGTTAAAAATTTGTCATATATGACATGAACAAAGGATACTAAACGAACGAATTATATTCTTGTTTGCAAATCCTTATCAATAAAATATCTACATATACATTATTGTGTCTTCATTTTGCTCTAACTACATAAATAAAAACATAAAACAGCAATGACGAATTATCTATGCAATGAAGTAATGCTCTGATTAACTAACTGGAACATACACAGAAAATGATTTAGCTAATCAAAAATAGATTTTTCGACATTCTGTGCCGAAGCATGATAAAGAATATTTCGGACACGAAAATGTTGCCTTCGATAGTGAATTGAGAAATAGATGAAGTCCTCAAGGTAGTTTATTTGCATTCTTTCATTTTGAAAGATAAGCTATTTATGAATGAAAGGAAGAAACAGTTCAACTGCAATTGATTTATTATAGTTTCATGAACTCTCCATTAACACGCAATACATCGAGAAGAATCATGGTCGTGATAAAGATATTTTATTAGTCAAAACTTGATATATCTCTGGAAAAAGGACACTGTCTCTTGAACAAGTTTGAAAAGACAAAACGCTTTTTTTCTGACTGATCCGCTGTCTTATCCATATGAATTGAAAATTGGATACGGAAATGTTCAATACCTGATTTATTCCGCGATAGACCACGTTCATTTTCGACCCATTTCATGAATGAATTCAGTTTCTCATCACGAGGTCGAAGAGGAAGTGGTATCGAATTCGGTTGATTGATCATTCGAATGGCATTATCGCTAGGGATAAAAAAGATAATTGTTCTCTGGTTTAAGCAATGATTCAATTTGACCGACAGCACAAACTTCTTGCCAATTAGTAAGAAGTGGCTTATTCACTGTATGAGGATAGACAACACAATGAATATCAGATTTAAACCGATTTTTTTGTCATAATACTTGCTGCTTTGCCTAACCAAAGAATAGCGATGTAACTTTGATCATGTTCAGAATGAATGGGTCCATCGATCCATTAGTCTTGTAATTGATCATACAATTGAAGATCATCACATGTGGATAAAATACTCAATGAAAATAGACTAGGATCGAAAAGTGGAACACAATTTACTTCATTTGTATCTAAACCAACTTTCGATTGTATGACAGAACCGGTTCTTTGATTAAAATAATTCACAATATGAAGCATACTTAACGATGATAACTGTATCTTGTTGATCGCTGGACTCTGTACAAATGTAGGTATTTTGAAAATAATCGATTTGAGCATATTGGTCAAGTCTCGAAGAAGTAAAACGAGATATCTTAGTATTTGTTCAACTGCTTCTGTCAATGGATGATGATAATTGCCGAGACCGTTTTGATCAGTTAAGACTTTCATCCTTTCTTTATGATTAACACATGAATAACCGAAAGTATTGGACGATGCATACGATGATTTTACGTTTTCATGTTGAAAAAAAAGTTTGTGAGAATTGTTTGAAAACTATGAAGATTCTTAGCTAATTGATCATCATGATTGGGTAATCGAATAAAACATCAGCGATTTGATTTAAATTCATTTTCTAAACGATTGATTTTATCTATATAGCCAATAAACAATTCGTCGAAATTGATAAGAGTTTGTTGGTTGAAACTCTGTTTGGTCGTCATTATAGCGATAAAGAAGCAAAAATACGTATGTGTTATGAATATGTATCCAAAAAATTGCTCGTTCTTTATATACATACAGTATGAGACTTGTGACTGCGTAACATGCTATTGCTCAATCAACACAAACAATGAATCATGAACACGTAGTAACAATTGAAAGAAGATTTTCTCCAAAACATAGTCATATCTTGAATTATCGTCTTTCAATGTGATCGATAGATGACAAACTTCTAGAAAACTGCAGAAATTTTGTCAATAATTCTAGAGTATATATCTCATTCTTTGTCACGGTTCATGTCCTTTTCACTGAGCAATGTTTATGACCTTTTTTCAGACTACTTCAACGTATTAAAAATTTGCAAAAACCATTTCTGCTCTTGACAAATCAATCACTTTCGTCAATTTAGACAAGGACTTTTCTTTGATCAACATTTAATTTGATTGTTACATTGATATTCTGTTAATAGATGAATCAATTCGATTTAGATATTTGCCTTTCAAGAATGTCTCAGATGGCAAACACTTGAAGATATATGATTTTGTTCAGATACCATTTCAGGAGCTTTTCTTGATGTGCGCGATTGATCTCCGCGGTCTTCTATTGTTAAGATAAAGTAATAAAAATATTGTACGAGTATTGGTTTGATATTTGCTCGGATCATTCTGATTATTTTACAAAAATCAGAATGATAGAATAATATAGCTTTAGTCTCGATACATTCGATAGATAGAATTCAATCGAGTTTAGATTGCAGCTCGCTGGATTCTTTCATTCCTTTTTCTTTTAATTGCATTGCGGAGCTGTGGACGTGGTGCAAGAATGTTATTGCACAACATCAACTAAAATCTAAGATAAATGGGAGAATGAAAAGAGAATGTTTCGACGAGCCATGATCGAAAGTCAAATTTGTCATGAGACTGAAGCATCACAACTCGGTGACTCTGATCGTCGCAAGACGAATCAGAGAAGCCACGACTTTCGATTAATTCGACACTCGTCTATCTTTTTTGTCTTGAATGTATATTTTTTCGAATATATCATGTTTCTCGATTGGATTCAGAGCGATCGTTGCAATTTAGTAGGTAAGATAATTATCTTTTTTCATATATTTCTCATTGAGTAGATATCATTTGATGTATGTTTAAAAAATACATCACAACTGAATTTTTGAAACGACAAATTGACAATGACGCAATTATCAATACGTCAAGGTCTTGTATAACGCGCGTGTTTTACGTTTTTTACGGCTGACTATATTCTATCATTCGTTTCTTCACTACTAATATGTATCCTGTTCGTTTTGCGTTGATGAACATTCATTTTGAGGGTGAGAGTACTTCTCACTATTAACAAAAACGAAAAGATTAATTAGGAGAACATATTATTTATTATTCGAACAAAATTATTAGTACTTTTCTATTTGTTGTGCATGGACACCTGATGAGCAAACTAGACATTGCCTTCCTTTGCTCATAATCACACGAGTGACGTCTTTCAGATCGAGATGTGAATTCTTCATTGTTTTCATTTCTTCTTTAATCATGTCCGTCACTAGCCAATCAAGGAATATTTTCGACATTTTCTATTTCAATATCTAACCGGTGCTCACGTCGATAGGCTAGTGCTTGATACATGTGATTTTTTGTACAAGCATAATCGACAAATTCATCAAGATTAGCAAATTCCTCTGTGTTGATCAGTGCTAGTTGCCTGCCTTTGTTCACTGAATGTTCCTTGCCTTTTACTTTAAATATTAGAAGACCATGCTATTGAGTCCATCCATGCAGACTACGCCTTCCTCAATGCCATTCTGATTGAAATATGCACTAACTTGACATTGTCGTTCAATGATTTCAGTGATGTCTACAAGTTTACTCTGAGCAAGTTTCGGCTGATTAAAATCAATTTTCGATTTCATACGTAGGAAAATCGTAGATATTAAAGATTGATTGTTCGGACCATTGTAGATTCGACCATTCTTTTGTATCGGGCTAGATTGCAGGATTCGAGCTGTCGATTCTGACCTTGAAGATAATAAACATTTTCCGAAGACCACAGAGAGCGACATTTTTCTGAATATTTCCACCACACCATTCGCCATAGATAACAATAGTGTTTCCATGCTCGTCATGTCTGCGAATGACTAGACAAGTACGAAGACTTTATTCGATAAGGAATTTTTGTTCTAATGGATATATAAAGCGTGCAAATCCGACGTTGTCTATTTTAGGTGAAATAGTTATATTCCGCGATTGACACCTAATATCCAGATTCTTTTCGATACACAATTGCCGCATTAGTACCATGTAATTTGATAGTATCAATAAAGTTTAGTATGGGAAACGATTTATCTTGTTCAATTTTCTACCGATATGGGTATCTTGTTACCTTCTCAATTACTTCATGAAATTGCTTCTTTTTTGGATTGCAGCTGTTTTCATCGATCAAGTAAGAAACGTACTTTCACGTTATGCAAACGTTCTCTCGTTGTATATATGTTCTTTCGTAAAGTTGAAGTCGAATTGCGCAATAGTCTGGTAATATTGAAATATTCGCAAAAGGAAATTACTAATTCATAAACTAGGGAATGATTCTTAAAAACAGATGATGTTGGATGGAATTAAGATATTGTTTGGAGAATAACGATTTAATTTTTGTAAATGTTAGGAAGAGAATAAAATGTAATAGACATTAGTGACATCTCACTCTTTCGAAATTTTCGTTCGAATGCTTCTACCTGCTATATTATGAATACTACACAAAGCCAAAATATGAAAAAATCCATAGATGAACTACAAAATAACAAAAATACCGTATACTCTTGATATAAATAATTATTCAAGAGAATAAAATCAGTCTGTTAGGATCGCCATCTATTATAGATGGACGATCCTTCTCTTTTTTCTCTCATATACATATACAGATATAAGTGTGAACCAGTGAGTAGTGTTTTGAGGATAGATGGTGATCTAAGGTCGATCTATTGTTGTCCTTTTTCTTGTGAACAGTTTAGGTTCTTCTACATTACTTTGAATAAAGAAAATACTGACCTAACACAGTCATGAGAAATAATATTTTACATGAAAGTCTTGACCTATATATCGACACATATACAGCAAAAGAAAAGGTAAATATGAGAATATTCTTATCATTAAAGTTTGTACCTATTTTCTCTTTTGGATGACGTCCGTT